GGCCTCCATGAAGGGCTCCACGTGTAACGACAGGTAGGCCGTGATGGCCTCCAGGGCCTGCGGGAGCGCCTGAGGCGGGGGACACCGGGCAGAGGTGTCGGCGACCGCGAGGGGAGCCAGCTCGGGCTGGATGAGACGGAAAAAGGAGAGGAAAAAGCGCTCGATCCGCTCAGTCGATGGCTCCCCTTGAAGGCCGCCTTCGGCTTGGGGGCGAAGTAACAAGTTGCGAAGCTGGGCACAGAGGTACTCGAGAGTGTCTTCCATCGCTTGCGCCATCCCATTCGCGCGAATGCGGGATGGGATCTGAACTAAGGACTCACAAAGCAAGATAAACGACTCGACACCCATAAGGTCATCCTCGAGAATGGGCTCCAAAAAGCACTGGAGGGTATCCACGACATTCGGTGATATCTCATGACGGGATATAAATGCGAAAAGTTGCAGAGAGGCGTATCCGTTTATGCTTTCTTCGATAATGCGGTTGCCTTGTCCGAGGAAAAGTTGCGCGAGGGCGTCATTTCGGTACTGAGGCGATTGGTTGAAAATTGCACCGACTCGACCAACGTCATCGGGATTTATTTTATTCAGAATAGTTAACGCACGCGCCGACGCATTTTTAAGTAAACTCTTTTTTGAGTTTAACTCCGGAAGAGTAAACGCGATAGAAAGGATATCAACAAAATTGAATTCCGTCGCCGAGGCCAGCTTCAAAGAGGCATATGCTTCAACAGCAGTGATGAGGTTCTGACCATACCAGCTTTCTTTTTGTTTGAAACTGAGTATAAGGGATTTAACATCAAGAATAGGCCAGCAATCGTTCTCAAGGCCGTGAATAGTATGTTGAACGAGGGAGTTAATCAGGGAATGTTCCTCAGTGATATTTTGAACTATTCGAGAGGGTAGGGCTCGTAGTAAGAGCGTCAAAGAGCGTGCACCTCCGCCGCCTTGTGAAAAAAAAAAGATCCGCATTCAGTACTATCGCGTGTTTGAAGCAAAACCGACGCGACTAAGTCTGGATCACGGTTAAAAAATCTCGACAACGGCATATAAATCTCATCGATATCATGTTTAAGACTACAATAGGATGACAATTCCACAAGCGCTCTAACTGTCCACTGTACCTCTTCTCGAGAGCTGTAGATAGGCATGCAGCAGCGCGCTATCAAGGCGGTTAATTTTACTGGACGCATAAGGTATTGAGTTTTCCTAGGAAGTAATCACTGCCTAATATATATATATATATATATTCTTGCTTCTCAGTATGAAGCTGCTTAACCGGTACTTTTCTATACATTTAAATTTGGGACAGTTAGTTGAGATGATGAAAAAGAAGAATAGGGATGGTAAAATAAAGTTAAAATAATAACGGATTGTCTCTAAATTCTGTTATTTTTATTAAACACCAATCGAACAATAGAAAAAATGAGTAATTGTAATTGTTGAATCCATTTGAATCGAAAAGGAAGTAAACCTTCTCGTACTTCTGTACATCGCAATCTTCGTGGGTATTTCTCATATATATATATATATATAAAGAGGATAAAAAAGACACATAAGCAACGAAAAAAATGAAAACTTCCTTCCCTTCTTCATTCAACGTCTTTACAGATAAGCAAAAAAGTCAATCGAAGTGTTCTTTTTTTCAGCGTGGAAGTACACTGATAATAGTTTCAACATCCATTTCATGTTGCATTGCCCGTGCATGTCCGGCTACCATGTCTCGCATTGCGGCGTTTCCTTTCGCAATACCGATATTCACGCGAGCCAAATCGACAATATCTGGAATTCCAGCCTCCCCACCAAGCCGTAGGACATGCTCGAAGAAAAAAAGCGCATGAAAGTAGTTGTGAATATCCAAATAAATCTCCCCCAGGAGCAACAAGCAAACCGCCGCACCGCTTTTATCCCCAACCAGACTGCACTGCTCGAGCGCTTGCTCGAAGTGCGCCTGAGCGGCGTGCAGATTTCCCATCCGAAGTGAAACCACCCCGATATTCCCCAGTGCTATGGTCTCCAACATCGCCTCCTTCGCCTCCCGCGCGTTTCCCAAGGCGTCCTGCAGGGCCTTCGCGGCGAAGGCCCACT